AAAAAAAAAATTTCCAGTGCATTGCTTCGCTCTTCCATTATGGCGTATTTTTTTCATATCATATAAGGATATTCTCTACCATAAAAAAAATATTTCGATCGAATATCGAGCAGTCCTAGAGTGAAAAAAACAATGAAAACGCGAAAAATTCTCGAAAAACTGGTTTACGAGCTTCTTGACGGCTCTAAAGTATTTTTTATCTTGAAGTACGAGAAAAATTGAAAATTATCTTTTTTTATTTATCAAAATCGGATGGTCTATTCAGAAGTAATGATTTTTTGAAAATTTCAAGTTTCATAATGATTATCTCAGAAACAAAAAGTGGCAGGGCAATGAAATTTCGCATGATCACTGCCGATATGTAGTAGTTCAAAATGCACCTACTCAATGATTTTTCCCAGACAAAAAAAAATCCGTTGTGGCTGAGTTGACATGGAATGTCCCATATGCAAACCCTGTGGTTTCTTGGGAAATATTCGGAATGACTGGGTGTGAGTGAATCTGTTAATTTCGGAATAGGACGCTGAGACCGAATAGGGGGGAAATAAAAGTTGTAGCCAATAAAAGTTGTAGACACGAATTAAATCAACTTCTGAATTTATTCGCAGTACGAAAAGAGTTCAATACACATTAGACGTTTTTTAGTCACCCACTCATAACTCAAAATATGAAAGCACTACTAATGAACTCTCCTTTTGCACTAACGGACTGTATCACTTGGCTCACGCCTCGACGTCTCGAGACGAACAGAACAATAATTACGCGGAGATGCATAAATGCAGGAGGCAATGTCCATAAATTACATCGATTAAGATAATAAATATGCAGAACGCCAGATGTCGTTCAATCATCAAAATTCAACAATAAAACTAGAATCTTTATGAAGTCCAGACAGTAACATTACTTCCACCTTTGGCAATGACTATTGACAAAGTTGTTGACCGGCAACAGGAACTGTCCGTCATTAAAACAAATAAACAAAAGAAAAAGAAATAAAAATTGAGTTAAACAGTCACGAAAAATCCTATTCCTCAATGCCCCAGCATTCCCATCAGGTAGCTGCCTGTCTGCAGACTCATCGACCGGCACAGCTTCAATCGCTAAAGTGCAGACCTTCACAATAGGCCTTGTGAATGTCGACGACTGTGTCGGAACAGTAACCATTCTGCATAGACCATCCTTCCCCGGATGCAGCTTGATGACACGTCCCATCGCCTACTTGGTAGGCGGCAACCTCTCATCTATGATCAGAACCAAAGTCCCCAACTGCAGATTCGAAGTGGGCCGGTGCTACTTATTGATTCCCTGGAGCTTCGGGACGTACTCCCCAGACCAACGCTCCCAGAATCTTTCCACCATCTGTCTAATCTGCTGATACCTTGACATTCTGGATGCCGCTAAATGACTCAAAGAAGGCTCAGGCACAGCTGACAGCGGAGCTCCAATAAGAAAATGCTCTGGTGTCAAGGCCGCGAACTCGTCAGGATTGTCTGATAGTTCACACAGAGGTCTCGAGTTCAGAACCGCCTCAATTTGCGCAAGCAACGTCGTCATATGTCTTCATATGTCAGAGTAGCCTCCCCAATCACGTGTTTCAGATGAAATTTAGCCAACTTGACCGCCGCTTACTATTTCCCTCGGTGATGAAGAGCTGCAGGAGGATTAAAGTTCCACTTAGTTCCATCCTTGGATACGTTATGAGCAATTTCCCGAGCCGCCCGACCAGTAGCATCGAACAACCTCCTTAGTTCCCCATCAGCTCCCACCAAGTTGGTACCACGATGACTCGTGATCGTCTCACAGATATCACGCCTAGCTGAGAATCTCCTGTAGCAGGCCAAGAATCCCTCGATGCTGTAATCCGTCACCAATTCAATGTGCACTGCCGAGGTCATAAAGCACACGAAGATCACCATAAAAACCCCTTGTAGGTCTTGGCTTCTTGACGCCTCCAACTCAGCAAAGTCAACGGCCCTGGATAGTCCACTCCAAGGTGAAGAAAACCTCAAGATGGAGTCACTCTCGAAGGCAACTGACCCATCAGTTGGCTTAGCCATAGCGCCATGATGACGAGTGCAGATCACGCACCTGAACATGAAGCTCTTCACTGATCTCCTCCCACCAAGAACCCAATCTTTCCTCCTTAGAAGTGCCTGCATCACCTGAACTCCCCCATGGAATGTCTGACGATGAGCCTCCATCAAAACAAGCTCAGTAAATTTGGAACTGGATGGCAGTATCACAGGATGCTTAAAATCCTCCTCCAGAGATGATTTCTGAAACCTCCCAGTCAAACAAATAATCCCCTCACCATCAAGAAAAGGTACTAGGCGAAACAGCACACTCCGGAGAGCCACTTCATTCATTTCTCTTAGCTTCTTGATGTCCTCATAAAAATACTCAGCGTGAATCTCCCGGATCCAGAACACCCTAGCCTCCTCGATCTCACTAGGCTGCAAGAACAACCCCTTGAACCCTCGAGCTCCATTGCTAGTGTTCTCTCGTCTGACTAGAAAAACCCGACGACACCAGGCAGTAACAGGTAACAGCTCCCTCAATGAGCTGTATCTCCCAACGAAATCCCAAGACTGATACTCTGAACCAGCACCAACGCAAGCTGCATGCACATCCAAATTCTTCCTCTCCAAACTCTCAGAATCATTAACAGCGAACCTCTGCTCTGGCCAACAAGACTCAGATTGACTCAACCATCGTGGACCAGTCCACCAAACCTGACTACCGACGAGCTATTTGCTTGACACGCCTCTCGACACCAGATCCGCAGGATTATCCTTTCCAGGGACATGCCTCCAGTTAGCTTGAGGCATCAGACGCTGAATCTCCGACACACGATTTTTAACGAATTGTTTGTATCTTGCGGGATCAGACTTGATCCAAGTCAGAGCTACCGACGAATCTGTCCACAAATTCACCACCAATTCATCTATTTCTAAAGCCTTACAAACTGATACCACATGACATGACAACAAACATGCTCCCATGAGCTCCAGCCTCGGAATCGTCACCTTCGCAGAACCCTTCTTCTCCTGAACAGGAGCTAACTTTGATTTCGCTGATACCAAGCTTATATTTACGTCACCATTTACACCAACAATCTTCAAGTAAATCACAGCTCCGTATGCGACCCCAGAAGCATCTGCAAACCCATGCAGCTCGACCGAGACAGTCGCCTCATCAATGCCGAAGTATCTAGGCACTCGTATTACCTTCAGATCCTTCACCTCCTGCGCCACCTATCTCCAACGCTGCACAGTCTCCTCAGCCAGCTCATTATCCCATCTCAGTTTTAAACTCCCTAACTCCTGGACCAGAAGCTTCCTCTTCACAAAAAAAGGCGCTATCCACCCCAGAGGGTCGTAAAGCTGAGCGACCTGTGACAGAACAATACGTTCAGTCAAAACCTCAATCTCTTTCTGATCCTTAGGGGAAAAAAAAAGTCATGTGAAGAATCCCAGTTTAGACCAAGAGTTTGGTGAGACTCCTGATCGTCAATTAGATGAGTTGTTGAGTCGTTCAAAGCATCTCCTGATGCCGGTTCAGTCGTTCACTGAACCGGTCAGATCTTGTAGCAGCTCAGGTCAATTAGAAGTCCACTTCTGTAATGTTATCCCTCCAGATGCAAACACCTGATTGATCTCCATAAGCTCCCTCCTACAGCTGTCCTCAGTGCTCGATCTTCCATAGACATCGTCCATATAAGTCGTCTTCAGAATCACCTCTCTAGCCTTAGGAAACTCGACACCTCGATCCTTCGCTAACTGCTGCAGCATCCTAATGGCAAGATAAGAAGCAGATCTCGTCCCATACATCACCGTGTTCAGCTGATATTCGACCACCTCTCCAGAATCATCCAACCAAAGAATCCTCTAGAAATCCCGATCATCGGGATGAACCAGAATTTGTCGAAACATTTTGGTCACATCCCCTGAATATACAAATCTATGTCACCTCCAACGAGTGACGACATTGAAGATCACTGCCTGCAACTTAGGACCTTCGTGCAGCAGATTGTTCAGCGAAAGTCTGGATGTAGCTTTGGCAGAGCCATTAAACACCACCCTGAGCTTGGTCGTCAGACTAGACTCCCTGCCAACAAGGTGATAAGGCAAATAATAGACGATCGCAGAACCCTCTTTCTGAGGCTTAACCTGAAACATGTGCTCCAGCTCTTCATACTCCTTCAAAAAACCTCGATACTTTTGATGAAGCTCAGGATCTCTGGACAAACGAGCCTTCAACCTGTTCAGCATCCTCAGAGCAAGTCCACGAGAGTTACCCAGTTGCTGCGGAGATGCTTTGAAAGGCATTCGAACCACATAACGACCAGTATCGTTTCTCGAACACGTTGCCTTGTAATAATCCTCACACTGAGTATCCCCTGAATCCACCTCAGTCTTAACCTCTGCGAACTCCTCCTGCTGAGCCCAAAATCGCTTGACTATATCATTTAGTTCATGATCAGCTGATACGTGGAAAGAAGACACGCCCTCTTGACCTGTCTCCCGCCACGAAGCATCCTCAAACGACACCTTCCCGGCAGAATCCAACCCAACGAAGTTTGTTGTGCGACTGGCTGATCTAAGGTCTCCCTCCTCAACCCAAGCTGGATAATCTGCGAGTACACACCCACCCCCAGGATCATGTCGATACCTCTAGTACTACTGAACTCCGGGTCAGCCAGCTGCAATCCTTCCAACACTGACCACTGCCGATAAGGCACAGCTCTCGGAATGTAATCCGTTAAAGGCGTCAGGATGATAGCTTCAGCCTCACAAACGCGATGACCCCAACCAGAAAATAACTCCACAATGACGATCCCCTTAGCAGCAGAAGAACTAGCTCCCCCGACACCCAAAACCATCTGAGAATAGTGTCGACGAGGGACACGCAGCTGTTGAGCAAACTTCTTAGTTGTCAAAGTCACTTGAGAATATGGATCAATCAACGCACGTCCTTCGACCAACTCTCTGGCTAATGACTTCACCTTCACCATCGCCGTTGCCAAGATCGCTGAAGACGCACCTGCAGACACCTTATGCGTCACTGCATGAGTCGCAGCACCTGTATCTTCTGCAGCTCCTCCCCCTGGTATGAAAGTCTGAGCATGCGCTGACAATCCAGGAGGAACTCCCTGAGGAGGCCCACCAACATCTGCCGCTGCAGACTTCGACTTCTTGAAATGAATGGAAGTATGATGCCTCCCAGAACACTTCTGGCAGTGCGTCGTCGAGGGACAGTTGCCTTTAATATGATGTCCGAGACAATTGAAGCACAACTTCAAACGGTTCAGCCTCTTTATCCTCTGGTTAACCGAGCCTGATAGTGTGAGCACCCTGTGAGAGAATGATTTCCTCTGCAAAGTGAACACTGATGATTAGTCCCTTGAGAACTCACCTGATGCACCTTGGCACCACCAGCTCCATTCGAACCCCTTGAAAAATTCAATGATGATTTTGCAGACCCATTATACGAAGAGTTAGTCACAGGAACCCCAGCATAATCCGCTTGGTAGGACTGCAGCACCCTGATCCTTGATAGCATGAATGCCCTGAGCTCCTTCCAGGTCTGTGGCTCTAATGAACCCCCAAGAGTCCTCTCCCATTCCGCAATCGAGGCCCTATTCAGCTTCTTAACGACAATATAAACTAGCCTGTCGTCCCACTGCGAAACCGATCTCTCAAGAGTCTCGAGTAACGTGAGCGCCTGAGTGACATCCGTGTATAACCTCTCAAGAGACTCGATAGAATCCTTCATCACCATTGGAGCATTAAAAATCATCGACAACGAGACATTCATCAAGGACCTCTTGTTGTCATAGTACTCCATCAGACTGTCCCAAACCAGCTGATAATTCTTCCCATCGAGATCGATATTTCTGATTCGCCTCTCTACATCCCCTCCGAGATGATTTTTAAGCAGATGAAGCCTGTAAACCGATGAAAGTTGAGGATTCATAGTCATCAAATTAAAAAAATTATCTCGAAAATTGATCCACTGCGCAGGATCCGCATCAAAAAAAGGAATCTCCCCCTTCGGAAGCTTCAGACCTGAAAGCGATGAAACTGGCAATGCTACAGATGCAATTGACTGATTATGAGCATCTGTCTCTCCTGCTCGTGCTGCATCCATCTGTTCCTTCATCTCCTGCATCTTCTCTAGAGCTAACAAATAGACCTCCTCGCAGGCCCTATGATATTTATCCTTGAAGTACTTATGATTTTCGAGCACAGTGCGACTATTAGATTTCCCACTATATTTAAGTCTCCATAAGAATGAGTGATTGTCTCGGTATTTGTTCCATTTAATGTTGAATGCCCTCATCCTAGTATCCAACCTCGCAGAAGTCACATCCGCTTCCTTCAGAGACTCGAGAGCCTGACCAATGCCCTCATCAATATCAGCTTGCTCATCGATGAGTGCAGGATAAGAAGCCATATTTATTAAAAACAAATATTAGTTATGGTAACAAAGCCCCATCCACTCATGGTAATAGAAATCCCATCCACCGATGGCAATAGTCAAAACTTTCTTACAGACCTCTCAGGATAACTAATACCTCTGCCGATAACTCAGTCAGCTAGACGACCGACCCACTGATGCCCCATGAGACATCCACAATGGCCGCACACCACCGCCAAAACCGATGCCAATTCAGCCACGACGACGCTCAGCCGCTTTCTCCCCGACGACGCTTGCCACCACTCCGCAGGATTCTCCCGGATGACCTTATGCCTTCACAATCCCACGATGACCCCTTTCCCCATCCCACGATGCTCCACACGATGACCCCGATGAGGCCCTCTCAGCCCAGAGACCCAATCAACAATTTGCAAAACGATGTCAACCCCTATCCGGCTCGAAGGACCAAAATGTTAATTTCGGAATAGGACGTTGAGACCGGATAGGGGGGAAATAGTCAAGAAAAGCCATAGATACGAATGAAATCAACTCCTGAATTTATTCGCAGTACGAAAATTGTTCAATACACATTGGACGTTTTTTAGTCACCCACTCATAACTCAAGATATAAAAACACTACTAATTAACTGTCCTTTTGCACTAATGGGCTGTTACACCTGGCTCACGCCTCGAAGTCTCGAGACGAATGGAACAATAATTACGCGGAGATGCATAAACGCGGGAGACAACGTCAATAAATTAGATCGATTAAGATAATAAATATGCAGTACGCCAGATGTCATTCAATCATCAAAATTCAACAATAAAACTAGAATCTTTACGAAGTCCAGACAGTAACAGAATCTTATATATTTGAACACCGGTATCGTTGACAAGAGGAATTTCAATGTTTATCATAATATGGCCCTGTTTGATATCTGAGTATACGTTAATAATATCTTTCAATTGAAAAAGTGCAAGTCCGTTTTGAGGTAATGAAACAAAAGTCCTTAATTTGCCACTTGGAAGTCGCCGTATGATAGTTCGTAACTGTTCTTGTTGTAAAATGCTGGAGTGTATGAGACCTAAATCAGCATTTGGTGAAATTTCCATAACGGAGGAATACAAAAAGATGCGGTTTTGAGTTATAGAGTTCAAAAGAGTGATTATTTTGTCTACGGCATCTTCTATTTCCACGGAGGTTAACTGAGAGTTTATTACCTTTGGTAATGTTTGGGTTAATTGATTATGTCAATATTTCTAGTTTTGTTATTATCATATCTGTCCCCGGGCTTATATACGTGGTTTTCTTATAACGGCTGGTAGTTTAATTGGTTTTGTCTGTATATATTAAATGAGCGTAAAGGTAATCTCATTCTGTCGAGGGATTTGAAGAATAACTGTTGTGATCCGTCGATTAATTAGTTTCGAAAGGGCCTATGTGGTCTCTTAGGAGTTCCCACTGTCGTTTATTCATTTCGTCACAGTCCGCCCATAATGTCATGTAGTTCAATAGATTCAGGGATTCTTTGTTTTTATTTTGATTGAAGGCTCTAACAAGAAGAGGAACCATGGGCTCCGAATGGACATTAATACTCTGTAGGTTGATATTTGTGAAGATTGTCCACTCTCCAGTGATTTGTCTCGTGGGTTTCAGCCCTTCCAGGTATAGCCCTGATGGAGTGGTTATCTCTTCCTCATGGTGAAATTGTGTCTAACTGGTGGCTCCTTGTGTGAGTACGCAACATACCACCAGTATTCGCTTCATCACCTACGTTGACATTAGTTGAGGAAAAACTGTAACAGTAGCTGTTTAGAGATTGGGCATCATAAAAATGTTAGTAGGCACTCATTAAAAGACATTGTATCATCGAATGTTTTATGTTTTGTGGTGAGAGAGATGTCAAGGGTCATTGGTTCTCGTGAATGAGGGGATAAGGTTAGAGGCTGGTTTATCTTGTCATATCGAGTCATGACGTTCAAAGTAAATCTAATTTTCAAAATGAAGGCGCTTCAATTGATCTATGATCAGAACATGGGCAGCTCGATGGTCTCCTTGCTCCCTATTATATGACTCCCTGAAGGTGAAAAGGAAGACTTCTTCTTTTTGTGAAACGTCCTTAGGCAGGGTAGTAAACTTGATTAGCATCGTGAAAATTCATAACGAAATGTTTGACGCGCCATAATGGTCACAGTGGTCGCTGTGCGAAGCGCTCCATATTGCCCTATGATAATCAGACTGAGTCACATTTCGCACTACTAGTAATAATAATCCTCAAAAAAAATATTTATGTGTCTTGTTGGATTTCATCTCTTCTACACCAGGCTTATCAATATTTTCATTCAATCGTTGAAGGTTACGAGCTCATGCATTAGATGTTGCGGATGAGTATGTCAAGAATTCCCAAATTCTACTACTTTTCTGAAACCTGCTTGAGAATTGAAGAGAGGTTACATGTACCCAGCTTCGATTATGGGGTTCAATTCGAACGTGCCCACGTGAGAAATGGTGGAGTTGCAATTGATCATTGGACCACTGATACTACCAGCCTTGTCACTGCTAAAATGAAGATCGGTCTACGTCAAAGTAGCCATTTATCCATAAATGTCGCAGAAATTGGGCAAATATACGCTGCTCATTGTTCATTAGATCATGGACAGACTCTTCTCGCTGTAGAAATATATGATATATATTTCACCTAATCCGACAATTCCAAAAATCATACAATTAAGTCCCTAAGTTCGAATTCTTTATACTCCTGAGGTTTCAAGGTTAGTTGGGCAGGATTATCATCAACTTCCAATGATTCTGAGTGGTATTTTCAACGTGAATTTTGCAACTAGAGGAGCACAGCGTTTTCCTCGTCACCCGGAGGAGGATAGTCGCAGACGCGTGAGATGTCTCTTTCTACCGAAAGATCGAAAGAAACGAGTGCAAATAAGTGATAATAGTGAAAAATTGAATTTTCCGCTAGTCAGTGGCGAAACTGCTGAAAAACTAAATTACCGACAGACGGTAATGAAGACTATTCTGGAGGAGAATAGCATTACCGATTGCAGGTGTCGGTAGTACGAATTCCGCTTGCGAAGGCGCGCCACGTGACGGGTAATGCGCGCGAAGGACGAAAATGCACACCTTTGATTGATGTCAATCAAAGGTATTTGAAAATGACCGCCTAAATATGCAAATTTAGGTCGAGAGTCAGGTCACTAGGGGAACCGCCGGCGGCAATTAATCTAATCGATATGCGCCCTAAATCTCCCACTCTAGACACCTGTAGATTTTCCGTGGGATACCCACGAGGAGCGTCCTTTTCGGTTTTGGCCGCGCAGGCGACAGGACGCGAATTTTCGGTGCTCCCTCGTAGATATCCCAGTGAATAGCGCACGTGTTGAAAGAAACACGAACATGTCGAGTGACAGGAAGCTCGACGACCTGGTGCTGAAGGTAGTGAGGACCACCGAGGAAGCCCAGCAGGGTAAGTCCCCTCACCCAGGGGTGAAAGATAATCTCGCGGGGATAAAACCTCAGGAGGAGGTGATTATGGAGGGACAGAAAGTGCCGCAAGGCACCGACGAAGTCCCTACACTAGATTTAACGGCCCTTTCTATTGCCGATCGGGCCTTGATGGAGGTGGAACGGACCGAAATTTCCTTACTCCTCGCGAGGGACGAGAATGAGGGCGAAATTCCCTCACCCATTTTCGAACCGATGGAGATGGTGTTTCAGGTGGTAGAGATTACCACCACAGCTCCATCTCCACTCGCGGAGGTACCTCGGGCGAAACATCTTGAGATGGATAAGGATGCCATGGCGAGGAGTTCAGCGGCCATGTTGGTCGACAACCCCGAGTTGATAGCAACGGTGCTCGTACAGTTGCCTTTAGTCAACCCGGGGCCCTCCACGTCGGCTGTGCCGCTGCCTTCTCCTGAGGAGAAAATGGGAGGTTGAGGACGAGAACTCCTCCTACGCTTGGGTGACCAAGCACGGGCGAAAGGCCCGTGTGACGACTCCCCAGCAGAAGAGTACCCCTGCAGCACCAATGCTGATCCCCAAGGCCAAGGAGAAGAGCTCCAAGGCCAAGGGGAAACTTCCCGAAGTGAGGAAGGAGAAGGGGGGAGGAGCTCAGGGCGAAAGAATCCTGAGAGCAGGAGCCCCGATGCTGAAGCAAAGAGGGTGTACCTCCAGGTGCTTCAGCACGGGGTGAAGGACCCAGAGAGGCGGTTGGGGTGAGAATCTCCAGGCGTAAGGCCTCTGAAGACGAGAAGATAATGCAGGAGTCCCCTCTCATTGACAGCACGCCCCGGGTCGAAGAGACGCGAAGGGAGACATCCAGAATCCCCGTTCCAGCACGACTGTGCTGGAATTGCAGGAGGGAGGGGCACAAGGGCCGAGACTGCCCTGCGCCTTACAAACCGCACTGCAAATAGTACGGAATACCGTGTCCAGAGCCCTATTGCACGCCCTGTAATGAGAAATACAGGGCACAGGGACCCTGGTGTTCGGCGCTCGGGCAGAATATCCCGAAGACCGATCGGAAGCGGCTGCAGAAGCAGCATAGGGCGGAGAGGAGAGCAGAGGCTGGAAGCAGCCCCACCCCCGCACAGGTAGGACCCACTCAGAGGAGGAGGACCGAAAGACGCCCCCAGGAGAAGGATTGCCCACGCTACGTGGCCCAGGGTGAAAGACTCCCGTCAACTCAGTTGAAATACTACCGAGAACGTCGGAAATGGAAGATTTCAAAAGTACTGCCACACGTGAAATTGAATATTCCTGCATTAGAAAAGGAGGAGAGCTTAATAGAAAAAAGCAGGAATAGGAAAAAAATGACTGAAAAGACAGAATACCTCACGAAATGTCCTAAAACGTCCGAAACGACGCAAATTATACGGGCAGCACCGGATAATCGTCCAGAACTAGTGAGTTTTCGCCCAGAACTCAAAGAAAGCCTTTTCTGTCGCGAATGCAGAGGTTGAACAAGTCTCCTGAATCTGCGCAAAACTCCCTGGGCTAGAAATAGCACCAAAGAATGATT